TTGTTAATCAATCATGCTAGAATATCTGGATGGATGAGCTAAGGCTCAAATATAGATTATAATCAAGAATAGCCTACTATTAATTCCGTAAATATCTTTGAATGCCGGCAAATACTACGCTTTTTCCAACTCTTTTTTGTATAAAACATAATGCATGCACAACATACTCGTACGTATTCGTATTTAAAAGATTTTTTTATCGATAACTTTAGAAAATAAAATTAAAGTTCTTAAAACGTCTCTCTGACAGTATTGTTCTATCAGGTAAGTGCGATAACAGATACTCGAGACTCGCAGCGAGACGTTGATTGAGCCAGCGCATTTATCCACCTGAGTCGAACCTATTTCGTTCACATAATATCCAGTTTATTAGTTGCCGTGAAGGATTACAGGGCAAATTTACAATATAATTACTAGTTTATTGCGTACGTGAGAACATTTTTTTTGTTTTTACGTTGGATTTCTGTTTGGTTTAACAGAGGCGATATTAAATAAATCTATTTTGCTGGGTAACGTTCATTTATAACACCAGTTTTCATCATCTTCATTAGTCAACTGGAGTGCTGAACACAGGCCTCTCCTTAGAAAGGAATTTTTAGTTATACCACGCTGGCCAGACAGGTTTATATAGGTAAGTTTGTGTCAAGTTTTCCTTTTCTTTGTAGTGCTGTTGTCCTGCGTAGTGTTGCTCCCTTAGTCGGGTTTTCTTAATCCATCACTGGCATTACAAAAAAATTAAGTCAAAGTTAATAAAGGGTATTTCAGTAAGAATGCACTTTTTATTTTAAAATAAAAACACGCATTTTATGAAAGAGTTGTGATATTTTTATTGGATTGTAAAGAAGACATGTTCCAATTAAAAAATAATAAAATATCCAGCAAATGGGCCCCACGGCTCTGATGACAGGGCATTACTCTTTTCATTAAATTTTCCATGACTTTTACAGAGATGTGGCTGTATCTCACCGGTGACGCGTTGGATCTCTGATTTGAGCTCAGAAATTGTTTCTGGTTTATTCGCATAAATCCGAAATTTCAGACAACTAAAAAAAAAAGAATTGCACGGCGTTAAATCGCACGATCATGGTGGCCAGTTGACATCAGAATTTCGTGAGATAATGTGTTCTGGAAACCGTTGCTGCAATATGTCGGTTGTTTCATGCGCGGTGTGGCAAGTGGTGCCGTCCTGCTGAAACTACATGTTGTCCAGATCCATGCCGTCCAGTTGAGGCCACAAGAACTCCCTTATCATATTCCTGTACCGAATACCAGTCACTGCAATTTCGGCCTCATCTTCAAAAAGTAAGGCCCTATCACGCCGCCTGACCAAAATCCGCTCAAAACAGTTGCTCGTTGTGGGTGCATTTGTTTCCTATGGATTGGATGTGGATTTTCTGAGCCCCAAATTCGACAATTTTGTGTATTCACGTAGCCATTCAGATGGGAATGCGCTTTTGCTGACTTCACTTAGCTCCATTACCCATGAAACGAATTGCCGGTGCTTTCCATGGTCTGCTGGTTTGAGCTCCTCTGTTATTTAAATCTTGGTCGCATGTGGGGGAGGTTTTGTGACAAAATTCGCTGCAAAGTGCTTCGTGAAATTTGAAGTTGTTGTTTTGAATTTGATGTTTTCGGGTTTTCGGCGACACACTTGTTTGCAGCGGCAATGTTTTCAAGAGACCGACTGATCCATAACCGACCCAGTTTCTTCAAATTTTTGACCATTCTTGGAATGGTTGACACATTAGGTGCACTTTCTCGACTGAAAATTTGGCGAAGTTTGCGAGCGGTTTCAGCGTAACTTTCAAGCTAGGCAAGGTAAGGCTGAAACCGCTTACGTTTTCACAATTATAAGGCGTTGTTCTTTCGAAAAGCGCTCCATTTAAAAAATCGAAATAAAATAGGTGACGGCTGTTAAATTTCAGAGTTGGCACTTGCACGAAAAAAAAAAACTAAATTTAAAAGTGCACTCGATGAAAACTTCAAAATTTGATAGCCTTAGTATATCAATTGCACCTTCGTTTTAGGAACTTTTTGTAGGTGATTGTACATCGATGAGTCAGTATTAAAAAAAAAATATTTAAAAATCTTTTTTTTTTGTTTTTGTTGACGGGGTGGAAAATTTCTTCGGATCTCGTGCTCAGGACCATACTATGATAACCAAACTGCTGATAAACATACTTAAATATTTCTAAATCCATACATATTATAAATAAATTACACCCAGACAAAGAACAAATGATCGTGCTCATCACACAATTATTTATCCTGGGTGGGAATCAAATCCACGACCTCTGGCTCAGCAGTCAGGGTTACTACCTTCCATGACCAACAGGCCTATCATGTCATGACCAACAGGCCTATCCAGGGATTTGAACGCTCGGGCTATCAGACAAGACTTTAAAATTACAAGTTTAAGTCGAGTCGCCATTATTACTCGTATTATCATTCCATATGTTTTAGTAATCGTTTTACTAACATACCTATTTCATAAACCTACCCGGCTATCTAAGCTAACTACCTACGAAAGTCTTTGAAATTTTAACATTGTATAGTACAGCTTAGTACCAATACCCTTATCAAAGTGGAAAATCTCAACGAGATACAGTTTGTTTTTACAAATAAAACGCTAATTACCTTAAAAAATAATAATAATAAAAGCTGTTGTCTATGGGCTCTTAGTCGGAACGAAGTTCTTTTCGCTTTTTGGTAGACGTTTGCTATACAGTCATTATTGGAACGAAGTTCCTTATCGCGCCTTGTGAAAGGGGGCTAGACGGAAAAAATTCGTACGAAAATTTGTCACGACACTTTTTAATATAAATTGACGTCTAACTGTGGATACCATACATTAAATTTGCTTTAACGTTCGCCAACGTCCATACCATGTTGAATACACCGGTTCTCGTCCGATCACCGAAGTTAAGCAACATCGGGCGTGGTTAGTACTTGGATGGGTGACCGCCTGGGAATACCACGTGATGTTGGCTTTTTGCTCTTTATTTTCGTGTCATCTTGTCAGACATTCAGCGCCATCTATCGAATAGATAGGAAATCGTTTCGCAAGGAGATTTTACCAATGTATAAATTGTTTTAATTGTTTTTAATATGTAGGTAATAGCCGCTTTCATAGACGGCGTTGTAATTAAAATCGTGTCAAATCAGTTTTACTCGATCGTCACAACTTCGTTCCTATCGGGTGTCCCACGACACCACACGGCTTTTAATTTACATTTTAAAAATCAAGTTAATAGAGTTGATTTGAAAAAAATAAAATTAAATTAAACACTGAATGATCTGGGACAATAAGTGTCTGAAAAAAGTCTCGTTAAAAGTCTCGTTCGAAAAAAGTTACATGTGTAACGAGACTTTTTTCAGACACTTATTGTGAGTTGCACTTATTGTGTGTTGAGTTGTTGAGTGGATAGAAGCGAGAGTAAAATATGTATTTTACTCTCGCTTCCATCCACTCAGAGCGTGTAACGCGAGATAAGGAACTTCGTTCCAATAATATCTTAGGAGGGGAGCGATTTTTTTTTTAAACACTTTTCTACTCGTATTAATAAGGTCGACTTCACTAAGCTAAAACTAAAAATCTTCAAGTCTCCTCAAATAGTAATGTTCCTCCACCACCTGAAATAAAGTTTAGAGGGCCAAGTGCGAGTTTATTGCATATCAACTTGTTTGACAGCGAGCGCGATTGGCGTTGCAAGTTAAGATTTCAGTGCGGGCCAATTGCAACGCTGAACGCAGTTACCGTGACGATCAAGTAGATGTGAAATAAACTCGCACTTGGACCTTAGATCAAGAAACCGGCCATGTTTTGCCACTTTTCTACATACAAAATAGTGTCAAAGCTTCTACTTAATAGCTTGGAAAACCTTTATTATTGCTGTCCTGCTCTTAACCGAGCCGTAACTTGGTATTAATGGCATATAAATTTTCTCAATATATTATAGTCTATTAACGAGTAGTATTAAGAGCGTAGATGAATATTTGATTGAGTACATAAGTATAAAGATTTTTAGGACTTTTTTCCACTAACAGTCTTCACCATACAAAGAGATAACATAAATTACAAGCAATTTAATTGCTTATGCTCCTTATAATAAAGTTGAATTTAATATGTATAATTTATTTTAAAGTCCTTGAAATAAAATTTATTTTGACGACGTCAATTTTTGGTCGAAATTTATTCATTTTTTTTAAAACACGCATTAATTGGTTCAAAAATTTGCGATATTTGTTGGCCTGTAACCTACATCAACTTGTTATGGCTTTGAGCAATAATAAGTAATATTTACTCAGATTTATCTCTTGTTTCAATGTGTTGTATATCTGAATTACGGTTGCAAAAATGTAGTTTAGTAAATTTGGTTTAATTTATGTGTGTACGCGTGTGTGTGCGCGGACGCTTGTGTGTGCGCGGACGCTTGTGTGTGTGCGGACGCATGCGTGTGTACGTGTCTGAGCGTGTGTGTTTTGTGTATGTGCGTGTGTGTGTGTGTGTGTATCTATATATATGTGTGTTCTTGTCGTTGTTTGTTTAATTAAGAAATTAACGCTAGCAATGTGTGCCTTTGAATTATCTGAAGTTTCGACTAAGACCAAGTAGCACTGGCCATGGTCACAGTGGACTTATGTACAGTTACAAATAAAATTCAGATAGTGTGATAAATGCTGATTATAGTTACAATTTTATTATATAAAACATTCAGGCGTCAACTGTATCTGTAGAAATAATCACTTTTCAACAGTATTCAAACAAAGGAGTCAGCGTATTAAAAAAATTAAAACCATTTTTTGATTGTTTGTTTACAATTCTGTATTTAATTTGACAGCTATTCTGTATTCTATATTAATATTTTCAGAAATCCCACTTTGTCTAATAGTTTTATTAATAAACTATTCATAACAAAAAAACATCATAAGTAACTTATTATACTCCCGATAGTGATCTTGTAAAAAAGAAAGATAATTACATACTTGGTACAGCAATTATGTATGCTGAAGACTTCAACCACAGAAGTGAAGAAACAAAAAGAAACTCATGGGAAGCTACTGCGAGTGAGTTTTCTTCAGAACTAAGTACTCAAGTGAGCGAGACCAGGCCACTTTTCCAGTTATATCTCATTTCAAAGGTGGGTATTTAAAATTGTGTTTATTTTGTCACATGTCTACAAGTTCTTTAACTTCTAAGATGTCGTAAAAGTCGAAAGATTGTAAGGTCAGTGACATTACTTAAAATTTAGGGTCCCTAAGATGTCACACTGTGGGAGAGTCATGCTTCGTCAAAAATTCAAATTTCCCCTAACGTTAAACGTTTTGCTGAATGAACATTTAATGTTTGATTTGGTCTGGGTGTTTGTATCTATATCTATCTATTCTATATTTATCTTTACATATAAATTGAACTCTCTGTTTATGTCAAAATAATTTATAATTATTTTTTTTATGTTAGAGGGGGCAGACAAGCAGATACCTGAACTATGTCTAAAAACCAGTTTATTTTTTTGTATGTCTGTCTGTTTGTTGGCCCGCATCTCCTAAAGGGCTGGACCGGTTTCAATAATATTTTATTATCAGGTAGTCGTCTATATAAGAAGTAACTTAGACTATTTTATGTACGGGTGTTTTATCTCTGTCATATATGTACGGATTTTCAAAATTACTTTTTTGTTAGAAAGAGGTTTATTCGGAAATAGTCTTATTTAAATTTCATATAGATCTGATGATGAGTTTTGGAGACAGACAAGGGAACTCTTAAAAAAATGACAGCAAATCATCTGGGATTACTGCTAGGTTTGTAGTGTTCTTTGTTAGTATTGTTAATGTCGGTTCAACTTTTTTCAAATTAGGATTTATCCTCTCAGAAAAACCCCATAACATGCCCGATCCGAGAATCGAACCCCAGGCCTCACGTATCGTACTTTACCATTAAGGCATCGCAGGGCCGCCGCTAGCGGTTCAAGCGCCTGCGTGCAATACCGATAAAGCCGCCCTTTTTTCCTTTCGGAAATCTCCCTTCGGACATCCCTCACCGGACAGCCGGTGGGGTGGTTATGAATTTCATGTCCGATCAAGTTATATTTATCTTCATTTCCATGAGTTTAGAAATCATATTACCTAATTTCGATACAATTATTCCGCGGCATGTTGTGGAATGTCGCGGGACACCGCAGCATGTCGTGTCACCAAGTGCAACCTAGAAAGGAAATCCCTGATACCCCGACGGGGCCTCAGTTATTTACAGCTTACAAATGGTCACCTGATGTGTAGTGACCACGGTTACCCCTCAATGCCTATAAAGGAGCTCCGGAGCAGTCGCGTCGCCACCTGTCACCAGCGCTTAAGTCGCTTAAGCTTAGGATATTTGGGAATCCCGAGCGCGCATCTTGAGTGATTCAAATTATACATAGTTATGTTTAATAAAGTAATTCGAAGCCTGTAAACATTTTCATTTATTTTCGTACACTGATCAATAAATGTTACTATGATGAGATGAATCTATTAGACATGCAAATTATGAAAAAGTTTCGTTTTCGTTTCGATATCTGTTTTTGGTGCTCCTTGAAAATTCCGCCCGTGTTAATATACCGGCGGCCCTGAGGCAGCACTCTTCAAACTCTACGCAAACGAAGTCGTGGGTACTAGCTAGTAGTACATATAGGTTTACTGTTAATTAAATAAATTGACCATAAAATTGTCTCCATTTTAGTACGTATTTTTTACAGAAGGCACCAAAATCTAAGAGGCCATTAATAAAATCAACTAAGTTTGAAAGACTATCGTTTTACAATACGTATACTATACCGGCGTGGAAATCTGAACCTATATGTAAAGAAATCGTACACCATAACAGGTAAACAACCTTAAAATAAAAAGACTTCTCACATGAAAATCAGGACTAAATTCCGCCTCCATAAGTGTCATCAAAGGTTTGTGATTCCTATTCTATTCCTGAATCGGAGTAATACTACGACCTCTCAAAACCCTCTCCCGCCCTTAATTCTGAGGGCAAGGACTCTTAGTAGTCATTTATCATCGCGTGATCCGTCTGTTCTGATGCTAACCACCGACCTCAGATAGAAAAAGAGTGACTGCACGGATGGCGTAGTGGTTTAAGCGGTCGCCACGCCGCTTCCTACTACGCCGAGTGTTGTGGGTTCAAACCCCACATGGGACGACACTTTGTGTGATCTACAAATTGTTGTTCTGAGTCTGGGTGTTCTTTGTGTACGTTTCATGTATGTTTGTAAAGTCCCCCGCGACACAGGATTTATTCCTAATGCGGGCGTTGTCTTTTTTAAAGAAAAAGAAAAAAGAAAAGAAAGTAAAAAATCATAGGATGCTTTTGTCGAAGAAGATTTTCACCTCACCTTTGAAATCTGAAATTCTTATTAAAATTCTAATTACATTTTCTTTTCAGTTTAATATGGCTTCACGTAGGCAACTTCATGTTCAAAAGCTTATCACATACTTTTGTTCACATATTCTACGCCTCATACTCCCCAGAAGAGCATATATTTTCGACTAAAATGGTACCGTTTTGTGTCGGTATGTTGTTGTAAAGTTTTGAATTTCATATCCTTTAATCAAGATCCTAGATATAGTTATCATAGATGTTAAGATTGTATTTTTTATTTGTGAATTCACTTTAATTCGTTATCATTGCAATGCATCAATTTGTCTATGTGTTTACAAACTATGCTATGATCATAATCATCAACAGCCTATAGCAGTCCACTACTGAACATAGGGCTCTCCTAAGAAAGGAGGTTCTGGCATACTACACCACGCCGCGCTGGCCAGACGGGTTGGTATAGCGTTTGTATCAAGATTTCCTTTTCTTTGTAGTTCTGTTGTCCTGCGTAGTTTGGTCAATTAGTCGGCTCTTATGAAACCCACGGGATGAATAGAGGTGGTGACACTCTGTATTTTTAATCTGACACCATACAGATATACTGACACCATATATACGTTATGAAAGAGAGATTAATGAATATATTACATTCGCCTTAAAATAGGGCAAATATGTAGTTATTATGTTGTTTTTACTACTCCTTAAACCAACATTACTGTTGCGTAAAGCAATGGACCGTTGCCGTGTAGTGACGGATTACATCCGTGTGGTGACGAACTAAGAATACAGAGTGTCACCACCCCTATTCATCCCACATACAAGTATTGTCCAACCAACATACCTAGTTGAAGAGCATCCAACTTGGTGCTGACAGAAGTCTCACGATGTTTAATTTGAATAAGCATCGATTTACTAGCTGGAACAGCAGCTCACGTACTCCTGTAGCCACACGACAGAGAAGTATCCTCACGGAAATTATATCTGGTAAATGCCCCATTAATGAATTCTATGTTTCTGGAATGATTTAGTCTGACTCAAACTAGTTAGGTTTATTACAAATACTAAATCTTTAGACTGGTCTTTGCCATATTTGGTCAAATAAGCTACCCAAGAATCCTTCCAAAATATGAATATGGATATGGTGAAATTTTGGAAGAATTCTTGAGTAGCTTAGTTAGCGGAAAGATTGGCAAATCTTGGAAAGTCGGACACAGGACGCAGTTCTTAGCGGCTCTTATATTTATTTATTCCTCCTCTCGCCCGATACTGTGATAAAGAGTGGACGTGTGCTAAAATTTGTAATTAAATATTTAAATTTTAAAATTATTTACAAAACAATTTAACCCCTATAGTCGAAGGGAAAGTGGTCAGTATCGCGTTAATAACGTAACATTAGCGTGTCGTAGGGAAGTGACAACTTGCGTTCGCCGCGCGCCAGCCTTCACCTCCGCGGGAAGAGCACAGTGGACATAATTGCTCGCTCACTCTAACTCACTGCGTGGAGACCGCGTCGAAGTAAGTCGAAGTGGTTGGGTAGTGCGGCGTATGCGCTGGTAATAATTCAGTTGTGGGTGCCACATAAAAGCGACAATTAGTTCAACAACGAGTGCTTAACTGCTTAGATTTAACACGTAAAAACCGCTCGGTTATAACAATGTCTCGCCTACAACGTACACCTCCAGCAATGGGTACCTCAAACAACATCTTAACGCATGTAATGTCTGACTCAGACATTCCACTATCAATCTGTAGTGATAGCGAAAACGTACACAATACTTTACGTTACAAACGCCCCTGTTCCGATTTTTCACCAAATAACGAGCTTGCCGACTTTAAACATGATATAAAACAAATGTTACTATCGTGGAAATCAGATCAAGAGGAGTGCATTAACAAATTAATTAATCAGCAGTCTCTAGCCCTGAATAAAGTTATTTCGGAGATGGCCGAGATGAAATTGCAATTTATTTCATTTCAAAAATTAAATATTGATCTTGAAAAATCTATGACGTTTATTAGTAACCAGTTTGAAGACATGAAACTTCAAATTGAGTCTTTAAAGAAAGAAATATTAAAATATTGAAATATTATTTATACAGATATTAAATACATTTCGGTATAACAATGGGCAGTCTTATCGCTCACGGCGATCTCTTACAGACAACCTTTATACGGATATGGTCAAAAAATTAGGGTAGCCTGCGATGTACTATTTCAACAAATTGACAAAATAAATATATACGTTTACAGTATATTATACATACAACTAATAAATTTAAATACATACAACATATATAAATATATACAGAAAGATGTACATATATAATACACACTCTTTTGTACTCGTATTATTCGTAGAAGACATCAAGAGATGCTTCGAACACTCTTACGTCCTTGTATTAGCAACATGAACACATGTATTAACCATACATTTATTAGTCTTTAATCCTTATCCAAAAGTAATTAAATAAAAAATAAATATATAAAAGAAGTACCTACACTCATACCATACGTGTAACACTTTACTGGACACTAAGCAAAATATAAATGTTTTTTTTTTTTATAATCTTTCAGGTCATAAATTTCTGGTACTAGTAGCATCACTTTCAGCTTTAATGGTCTCAATGAACTCATTATATTTAACATTTTATTATTTTATAAATGGGTTTCTTTATAAAAACCCATGGAATAGGTAAGAGAACTCTACTTTTTATTTTAATATTAAAAGAAGATAAATATGTGTTACTTCTCTTAAACGGCAAGTTGGCATCTCCTAAGGTACTAGGTAGGAGTCAAACTATCAAAATCCAGTAGTTTTTACATAGGATAAACTAGAAGAACAAAAGTAGAAGAGTGGTCAGCTATACTCAAGACTTTGCTGGATATTCAATCAAAAGAATGAACTGCATAAACCAGATAACTCCATACTAGTGGTGTATGTCTAAGACTAAGACTGTAAAGCCCGGTGTTTTAAAAAGCGATCCTGTTTTACGGATACGACACTAAGACTGATTGATTGATAGAGTCTAAACGTAATTGGTGTAAGTCGCTCCAAGAATAGGAAATTAATTTATCTGGAGTACTAAACGTGATTAAGATTAAGTGTATTATATAGTTTTATATTATATAGTTGACGACCGAATGGCGTAGTGGTTTGTGTAACGGACTGGTATTCCAAAGGTCGCGGGTTCGATTCCCACTCAAGTCATACATTTGTGTGCATGAACATTTAATGTTTGATTTGGTCTGGGTGTTTCTATGTGTAATAAGTATGTATTTACAAAAAAAAAAGTATATATGTATTTATATCAGTTGTCTAGTACCCAAAACCTTAAACCTTCTTTTTAAGGAGAGGCCTATGTCCAGCAGTGGACTATTAAAGGCTGTTGATGTGATGATGTGTGATGTGTCTAGTACCCATAGTACAAGCTCTGCTTAGTTTGGGACTTGATGGCGTTGTGTGAATGTGGTACAATAATATTATTATGATTAATTTGGGACTTTGGATGGCGTTGTGTGATTGTGGTACAATATTTTTTATTTATATGTATATTTCGTTTGGATATTTTGTAGGTAGCTTGTAAATAATTCTAATGTTGCAGATGCCAAAATAGCACTTATTATGACGATAATTTCAATATAGTTATTAATTGCTATGAATTAGATGTTTTTACTCAAGAGTTTGTAAACATGACTTTTGATCGCTCAAAACATTTATTTATGAATTTACATCACGAATATTTTTCTCTGGCGCAGTATGAATATTTGAGGTAATATTTTATTAATCATTTTACTTCAATCGGATTCAAATATATTTATAAATGATAGATATTGTATAAATGATTCCCTTAAGGTAAAATTTAATTTACCTATGTAATAATATTATATTAAAATGGAAAGTTGGTTTGTGTATACTTCAAAAAGTTATGTACCGATAAACAAACCGCTTCAAAGATTGTTTTTCTCTGCCATATGCGTTTAATATGTAATTATCATCAAGCCCTCAGGCCACTAAACCAAGCTGGCCTGACGGGTTGGTATTGGGTTTGTTTCAAGTTTTCCTTCTTTTTGCTGTTGTCCTGCGTAGTTTGTTCCTTTAATCGGCTCTTATGACACACACGGGATGAATAGGAGTGGTGACATTCCGTATTCTTAATTCGTCACCACACGAATAATAAACTTTTTGGGACTTACTATTATTCTAAATGTTTTAAAATTCTCACTGTCCTTTGATTCCAGATATAACTTTGAACAAAACTATAATTCGGGGAATATTGCTCTTCTATACTATGCATTATTGTGGGGTGTGACAGCCATTTTAACTTTTTACGTTTCAAAGAAATTCTTTTGGAAGGTACGTACGTTTATGACTACATGGCTTGGAATCGGGTGCATTCTTCTATAGAATCTGAGATATCCTACACAAGTGTTAGGCCCAATTAGATTGAAGGGTAAGTTCAAGAATTACTGGATATACTCAAGTTAAGTATGTATATTATTACTTCTTTAAAGCAATTTACTTGATCAATTTCAGTTTTTCATCGCTTATCGCACGCGCTTTAAACTGATATGCGTATTCAGGTTTACATTTGTTAAATATCTTTTGAATTATCAGGAAAGTATGCGAGTATTTTGTGCATGCTCTAGTCTTCCGTTGATGCTTTATTATCTTGACATGTTCTAGGCACGATCTTGCTTTAATCCTCGATTTTAAATCATAGTTAAATTTAAAATGGGTTTAATATTTTTTATATTTTGAAGAGTATTCTAGGAATTATCCACGTTATCTGAGTTAACTCTTACAGACTAGTTTTTACATTTTAACGATAGTATAATTTTTTGATGCGAATTGCCGAAGCGTACTCTTTGCACATTTAAGTTCTTCAACGTAAATATATGTTTGATCTGTCATCTATTTATTGGGACTAGGTTACGCTTGTATGTATCAAAGTAAACACGATAGTGTAGCTTCTATTTTTCCATAATATACCTTTTTTTTTTTTTTTCCGTGCGGAAATCCCCTCGCATACCACCTGTCGGTGGCATGTCGGACTCGAACCGACTAAAACCGCACGCCGTCTCGGGTACTAATAGCCGGGGAACCAGGTATACCCTAGAAAGGAAGTTCCTGGTATCCATAACATACCTACCGTTCTCACGTCCTGGTCATAAATACATCTAGACTAATAAATATAGAAATTATAGTACTAAAATAAGAAATAACTAGAGATTGCCTAAATGAATTCGACCAGTATGACCTGAAATTTCATTGAGATCATCATAGACTATTTTACCACGACAGATCAAAGTATATACTGGACTCCCTTGGTTTTATGTAATCTTTTTGACATTATTTTTAAATTTATAGCACATACCGTTTAGCTTTCTTCACTTCTAAATATAAACATTAAATATTTCAAGTATGATATAATGCTGTTTTAAAAACTAGTACAAAGATTTTTTTTTCATTTATATTAATATATAGATATTTACTAAGTGCATTTTTGGTAAACTCCTTTCGTAGTTTTTTCTCAGCTGAAAGACGTCCACTGCTGATAAACTTACCATAATCTCTTACGACCTTAAAGAAAACCAATGTTAGGCACTAGGACGGGTAGGGGGCGCTGGATGACTTGACCACCAGATGCGGCAAATGCCTATTACCAGCTACCACCATAGCGACTTTCCATCAAATCAACTATCTGCTTCTTTGCCTCCCTTCCTTTTGCCTGATATCATAAAAAGCTAATGTCTGTTTAAACAGGTATTACACTATGCTCACTGGTCAATCATTTTGACAAATATCTTGACAGTTCTATATATATTAATAGAACTATCTGGACTAAGAAGAAAAAGAGAATATGTGGCTTCTACATCTGACATTATTACTTATAAATATTGGGTAAGTAAATTTTAATAATAATTGATTACACAAGCACACACATTAGGCAGCAAAAAATACCATTATTTCCCTGAGAGATCGTAGTATTTAATTCAAGATTACCATACTAAAAGGAACTTAGGACGGCTAATAAAACTTCTGTCACGTATGGCTTTAAGAGGGTTTGATTTTTATTTTTTACTGATTTCATCTCTATTTTACAATTAAGTATGAGTAAAAAATGAACTTGTTTTGCTTCTTATGGCCTGTATTTTGCAAGCAGAGCTTGGGGGTCTCCTTTTCCAAAAATTTGCAGTAGTCTGAAGTATCGCAGGGTACAATTTCCCTTGACAATACTTCTCTATTGAGGCAATGTCTTGATTTTTGCACCAGGGACTTCCATGCACCAGGGACTTCCTTTCTAGGGTATACCTGGTTCCCCGGCTATTAGTACCCGAGACGGCGTGCGGTTTTAGTCGGTTCGAGCTGACATGCCACCGATAGGTGGTATCCGAGGGGATTTACGCACGCGAAAAAAAAAAGGCAATATCTTGATGAAAGCGGTAACCGTGCTCATCGCTTACTCACACCTAGCTAAAAAATCTAGGTGTGAGTGCATGAAGTGTATTTTAGTGACTTATTACAGCCCAGCCCCCTTAGGAACTCATTTACTAGGCATTAATAATGGGGCGATCGATGATTTCCCAAAAAAATATTTGTGACTTCAACAAACGCCAACAAGACATTATTTTCTTCAATGGTCAAGGTCGAAATAAACTGAGGATTTTTTATTAATTTTCTTACATCTAACCCAATGAACACACCATATTTGATTTTACCATCACTCAAAGCCTCATCACTTTTGATTTATTACATAAAAACTGGCCTCACTTTATTTGTTTCCTTTTACAAAGTTTTCGATAAGTCCTAGTTTAATGTGTAGGGGTGACAAAATTTTTGTTTTGGATCTACTAATGGATCATTTTTATATTTTTCTGGCCTAGTGCATAAAAAATCCTCAGCGGCTAAGTTTTGTGCTTCGGTTCTCGTCAAAGCATGGGTTGACTAAAAGGCATTTCTGTTTTTTCCCATTGAACCATTCCATCAAAATTTTGTGGCACGAAGTACAACACTCTAAGTACACACTATGTGGTACTCAATATTTGTCTTACTTGTGAATGTCGAACCCAAAATATGCGTGATAATACTTTACAATCAAAGGTATAATACGTACGAAAATTTTTAATGTTGCCTAGTGGTATGGTTAAAATAAACTATTTTACAATACTCAAGAACTTATGATAAATAAGACTAAAAGTTTGTTAATGTGTCATTGTTTTCCAATTTGCCAAACATTGGAAAACAATGGCTGGATGTTTTTGGCAAACCTGCTGTGTTATTATATAGGTATAATAAAAGAAAATGATTAATTAGTGCCATCAAAATAGAGCTTTAATCTGTACCAAACTTTAATTCATAAATTTAAAAAAAAGGTTATTTGTAAAATTGTCGCATCGTAACAGAAATTCAAAGCCATAATTTGTATAAGGCTGAAAATTGTTGTTATTAATTGTAATGAAAAAAGTATTTTAAACAATGTATGTAAAGATAACCGTTAGTGTTTGGTTGATAAATTTAAAAAAAAGCCTATACATGCGACAACATACAGGTTTTTGTAGATTTTTAATGGTGTTGCCAACATTTACGACTAGATGGCGTAGTGGTTTGTGTAACGGACTGCTATTCCAAAGGTCGCGGGTTCGATTCCCGCTCAAGTCAAACATTTGTGTGCATGAACATTTGATGGTTGATTTGGTCTGGGTGTTTCTATGTATAATATGTATGTAGTATTTATATCAGTTGTCTAGTAGCCATAGTACAAGCTCTGCTTAGTTTGGGACTAGATGGCGTTGTGTGAATGTGGTACAATATATTATATTATATTATATTATATTATATTATATTATATTATATTATATTATATTATATTATATTTGTATTAATTAAACTAACTTACTATTAAATAACAACATTTTCCTTGTTAGCTTACAGATCTCAATATAATAGAAGGAATTACCACAGCTCCGGCGTTTGCCCATATCTTGTCTTCTAGAAGTAAACAACCGGTAAAATTACATTTAATATGTATTGCATACCATAAGTACTTTAAGGGACTTAATACAATTCTTTATAAATGTTAAAATTATATACGATTTACAATAAAGTAGAAATTCTCGTCTCGTACCCGACAGTATCCCACCACACTATCCATTTTCCTGACTCAATTTACCTTTTGCCTATGCCTCCTCTGAAAATGTTTTTATTTCCAAGGAGGATTAGCTTCAAACAAGATACTGGTGGTAAGCAAACAGGCCAAAATCCTTTTAATAATATCACAAACCGTTATGTTACGCATTGGGCTGACCTCAAATAAATTTAGCTGAAAACATAGGCTTAAGATGATGATGCTGACATCATTAATATCAATTGAACTGTTTGCAGCGTCCGTTTTATTTCGCAAGCTGTTTCTAGTTTCAGAACACCGTAGTTAGAATTTGTCTATTGCTACTTTGGATCACAAAACATATTTTAAGCTGCCTTATTTTCAATAAATAAATCTCTATATTAGATGGAATATTGTATTAAGTAAACACACATAAAATGAATTGACTTTCTTCAATTTCTGTTTCAATTTAAATTTGTGTATAAATATTAATATTGTTCTCTTTAACTATGTATGCTCTGTGTACAATACTCCGCACATGAATGGAGGCTGATCAACTTTCGTTAAAGCAACAACACGACGATTTAATAGTATATGATCGGTCAGGTTCAAAACCTTCATGGCAGATTTTAAACTTGAATGGGCGAACTGCTTACTATGAAACAGCTGTTGGCCTTTCCTTTACTAAACGTATGTACGTTCGTGCTTGCGTAATAATAGCACGTACGCTCAAAATGTGTATCGTGAAATGTGGAATAATGTTACGCTGCATTAACTATGTTGCCTAAATTTTTAATGAATATTGGAAAATGTTTCTAAACGACCGCAGTTTATCAAAAAATTTAGATCACGTTTTTTTTATTAAAATCACTATTTCATTAATTACTTATGAAGTCGCAAAAGTCAGATCAAATACAGAAAAGAAGCGAACTATTTCGAGATTAAAATTTTGAAACCTTGTAAAAAAATGCATTACCTGTGGTAATCTTATCATAAAGCCCCTATTTATTTGATATGGCTTTATTTATTTAAAAAGGTACAAAGAATCATTGCTATAAAATAAACAATTGTATTTTTTTTTATGCTACAGATAGATCCAAGTAGTGACAGTACTGCTATTATTATATCTAATGCAACCTACTATTTATTCAGAATATATTTATCGGGTAAAATGTCATCTTTTTGCAAGAATGTCATTGGAATACCATTGGACGATTTTCCTTACAGTAAGTTCAATTTACAATACAATGAAGTTTAATATGTGTCAGAGTTTTGAGTGAAAGGTTTTTGTTTTTTTTTAAAAGACAACTCCCACATAGGAATATATCCTGTGTCACGGGGGACTTTACAAACATACATGAAACGGACACAAAGAACACCCAGACTTATAACAACAATCGAACCCACAACACTCAGCGTAGTAGTAAGCGGCGTGGTGACGAGTTTATCACCAGACTGGTTACCATAGTACAAGTCCTGCCTAGTTTTGGATCAGGCGGCCGTGTTAACTTTGTAAAAAAAAAAATAGTACGAGTAATAAAATCAACATTTGGTTTTTTAAAATAGCCGTTCACCGTCGACAGTTTACGTAATATTTTATTATTGGCTACATTTATCGCATTTGAATTAGGTAGTGAAAACACACAAAAAAAAACCTTATTACCGTTATTGTTGTTATTATCACCATTGATATTTACACTCTAGTATCTAAACACTTTTGTTCCTAACTTTGTATCCCACAGAGTGTTGATTTGAGCTTTCTATGTTTTACCGCTTCTGTTAAAAAATATATTTTGAGGGTTCATTTCACAAAATTGCTTGAACAGCACGGATGGAAACTTATTATACATAATTTTTTTAACAATTTAATCAACATTTCTGTATGATTTTGTTTTCTGTTGTGTTTTTTTATTAGTAACTCTATGTTTATAGGTCGGTAGGTAGGCGCTCTTTCGTTGAGACCTTCGTACAGCAGTGGACGGCAAGGATGATGATTATATTTATAAATCTGACACTAATTTGGGCTCTAATACTATCGTAATACCTGCCAATCTCATACAGTCCTTTAGTCAAGGATCTTATCTTTTGTTAACTTATCAAAATGGCATATCAGATAAAAAGGTATTTAGGTCGTTTATACTATTAACAATACATCAAAGTGTCGTATAAGAAGTATCAGTGGTACTATGATCAAGTCCCTAACTACAAACACTATATGACTCACTAACGTTTGGCAAACTCTAGAAACGAGATGTTTATTATTATTCGGTGATCCTGTACTTTTGAAATTCACGTGACAAGCAAAACGATAGATGTAGAATTTCTTATTCAATTTTAATAACACAGTACGCAGATCATACCGTTGCAGCAAACAGGAACGCGTTTGAATACGTGAAGCGCAAAATATCACTAGACTAGATGAAACTGCACTGAGATATATACTCGTATAATGACATCGCTATTTCTTTGACGAAGGAATACCTGGGTTATTTACTTATTTGTTGGAGTACCTAGGAATGATTTATGTTCAGTTTTATGATGACTATAGAAGTTTTTAACCGACTACAAAAACATAACCTTTATGAATCGATTTAGAAAATTCCTTCTAAATTTGAGATAGTAGATTTACCGTTTATTTCAATTCATAATTCAAAGTAAAACTGAATACCCCTAAGGACGGAAAATAAAGGTGTTGAGTATATAGCTTATTACAATTCATCATACTCGTAATGCTTTGTTGATTTAATAAATAATAAATAAATTCAATTAAATATTGACTGCTTTTAGGGTACTTTTTCTTCCTGGTCTGGCCAATATTTTTTACGTACTTCTACTTGGGCGATTTGTACAGTCTAATATTTCTTGGATTAAATTTTGTAGCGGCGCTTTTATCTTCTGTAAGTATATTAAACCTGTGTTTTGTCATTTTAAATTTGTTGTATTATTTATGGTTATTGTTAAATTTGATATTCACTGTTTATCAATTAATTTCTTTAAATTTCGACCTTTTGCAGTCTTTATAGATTTAAAAATTAAATAAACTATTTGTTTGTTATAGTCAATCACATTTCGCTGTCTTATTGAAATGGTAATTTATGAATGGAAAAAAGAGGTGAACATAAAACCTTGGATGGTTATTATGGCAGTATTACTCAGTGTTGTCATGTTAATCACACTCTTCAGTCAAGAAGTAAATATTTCCTTTAAAAATGTATAGAATAGTTTTGAGGCAAAACATTTTATGGTAGTCTTGAAATAGAACAAAAAATACGTATTTTTTAAGGTATATAAGGTGGCAAAAGAGCACATGGGTCTCCTGATGGTAAGTAACTACCAACGGCCATGGAAACCTGCAACTGACTTTGACTGCCTCGCTGGTGCAGTGGTAGCGTATGCGACTGCTAAACTGAGGTCTCGCGTTAAGTTTTGTAAATATTTGTTTCAGACCATTGGTGTTTTCTATGTGAAATATGTACGTATTTACAAAAAAGGTTATACATATTCTATCAGTCAATCTAGTTTTTATTGTGCTTAGTTTGAAACCAGATGGCGCTGTGTGTCAGATGTCCGAAAATAATATATTATTAAACACTTCTCATAAATCCGAGAACTTTAGTCCGATTTACTTAAATAAAGAGACTCAGAACAATAAATGTATCACACAAAGTGTTGTCACGCGGTCACGCGAAGTGACCGCTTAAACCACTACGCCATCCGTGCAGTCAATATGCGAATACTAACTCTTTTTTTCGGTTACAGGTTCTAGGACTACTATGTCTGTACGCCATCGGAATTGCGACGTTATCTGAAATAATAATATTGTACATTTTTTATCCCCTAGGGAGGCTAATTGATGATTATACCTTTCATTACGGAGAACCACCGACAAGATTGAGAAAAATAAGCTTGCAAGTTGTACCCTTCTATTATATGGTATTTCTTTCATTTTGAATGTTTTAATACTTATTTAAAATGATACAGGTTTAGAATCAGACGGTCGTGTGTTTTCATGATTTATTTCGTAGACCCCAGCTATGGTCTCGGGATGACTTCTGCAGGCCTACCGCCTGCCCAAGTAGTTCCCCGTGCCGGACATCGCACGGCTGCGGCAAGCCTGCGTGACCGCGCGCTGCCAGTGGTCCAGGTTCCGCAGGAGGCGTCGCCGCCCCGAAGATGCGGCAGCGAGCTGTTAGCGGGGTACAGGGTTGCCAAGAGGACCCTTCAGGAGATGCTGGAGACACTGGAGCGGGATCCGTGGGGACGCCCCTACCGTATGGTTAGGGGCAAGATGCGCCCATGGGCCCCGCCGCTCACCCGGTGTCTTCAGCCAGAGCTCCTTGAGAGGGGCTCCCTGTTCACAACGCGAGTGGTGGAGCGTACTCCGCCACAGATGGCTCCGCCTCCGGCGCTTGAGGCGCCTAACGTGGATGACGACCACGTGCCTGAGGTCACTGGGGTGGAACTAAGGGTGGCGGTGTTACGGCTTAAAGCTAAAAACACCGAGTGTGGGTCCTGGCCTTAGTCGACGAGGCTCTCTTGCCCCGACTGCGAGGGTTCTTCAGCGCATGCCTCGAGCGGGGCTAGTTTCCAAAATTGTGGAAGACGGGGAAACTGGTCCTCATCCGAAAGGAGGGGCGCCCGGCGGACTCACCGTCCGCCTACCGGCCCATAGTGTTGCTTGACGAGGTGTGCAAGCTCTTTGAAAGAGTGATTGCAAGGCGCCTTGTCAAGCATCTCGTGATAGTGGGGCCGGATCTGGCGGATAACCAGTACGGTTTCCGTCAGGGGCGCTCCACCGTGGATGCGATCATGCGCGTGAAGGCTCTGGCGGAGAAAGCAGTTTCCCGGGGCGAAGTGGTGTTGGCGTTCAACACTCTGCCCTGGAGCTGCATAAGGGAGGCGCTCGTGTATCACGAAGTGCCTCTCTACCTCCACCGCATAGTCGGGGCATATTTGTCGGAAAGAGCCGTCGTCTACCCCAGTAGGACCGGTCTCGGTAGGCCTGAAATGTCGTGCGGTGTTCTGCAGGGGTCGGTGTTAGGGCCACTCTTGTGGAACATCGGCTACCACTGGGTGCTTCGTGGTTCCTTCTTGGATGGTGTCGCCGTCGTGTGCTACGCGGACGACACGCTCGTGACGGCGCGCGGCAAGTCGCACTACGAGGCAATCCTGAGGGCCACGGCCGGGGTTGCCCAAGTTGTTAAGCGAACCCGGCGGCTGGGTCTCGAGGTGGCTCTGCACAAGTCCGAGGCCCTGTTCTTCCACGGGCTTCGGAGGAAGCACTGTTCTCTGGATGGAAGGTATGTGTCCTTTCCTTCCATGTCCTTTTCTGTAACTCTAATAAATGTGAAATGAAATGTGTGAAATAAATTCTTAATGATTTTAATGAGGACAATGTTTTAAATAAACAAACTCACTTTATATAAGTACGTCAGGATGAAATTATTTAACAAAACTTTGTAACGTAACTGCTACTACCTGAGCTGTGATCGATATTGTGGAATTTTATGATATTTAGCAAGATAAAAGCTACGATGTCTCGATTTAATATCGGGTGCCATTCGATCCTACGACGAACACTGATGAGTAATGTTTCATGTGTGTTTGGGACTGTGACAAGGTAGCAACTGAGAATAGAGACTTCCTTCGAGACGCTGTTACATGAAATAGTTTACATTTTCTTCAAACTTTATTTTGTAGTACAAGGTTTAATTAAATGACTATGCGAATATTAAATTTGTTTCAGATTAAATTTTTCGCACTACTGTACTCATTGTATGGTATGCGCAACAGTACCAAATTTATAGCATCTCAATACTTGTGGTGTTGGTACTTAATGTTGGTTCCTCTTATTCTGGGCATGATATACAATATTTACAAGCAACACGTCATACGTAAAGCTGTAAGTTTTTAAAACTTCATCGTCTCTGGGACTTTTTTTTTCAAACTGGGTTGGGATCGACTTTCAGTATACTACGATACTGCTGAACTTCGACCTTTTACGTGGAGCGACAGCCATCAGATCTCCACAACCCCAGTACTACGCAATTTCGAAGATCTGTAAACTGTTTCGGACTTTTTAGACCTCCGATCACCCGTAACGATAGCCACATATGTTAGTACGGCAACTGGGACCGACGGAATAATGTGCTCTCCGAGGCATGGAGGAGTTTTAATATATTAAGAATGGTCACCAGGCCATAGACTGACCTGGCAAGGATTGCTTAAATTTGCTGCTGCTTAAGCTGTTAAAACATATTAGGACGAAACATTTTACTCCTTTATTCTCTTGAAAAGAAAAACTAAAACTAGACTTAGAATTAAACACTGTAGTTGTTACAGATGCCATAAAACCCTTTTGGTATAACTTTAACTATTCCATAGAGTAGCACAACGTGTAGTACAGTCATGCATTAATATTTTAACTTCTTTTAAACTTCTATAAAACCAAAGTTATGTTCTTGTCTTAACAGTTCAAACAATAGATTTCTAGCAAAGAAATCAATATTACTCAGATAGGTGTAAGGCCACTACGGAACGCTATGCAGCTTTTACGAGTACAATGCATGTTGTGCTTTATATGCGATATCATACTTCTAGACACTGACGGGTGCCCGTGTTGACAGCAAAGAGGCGACTCACTTTAACCGATTCCTTGCTCAGTTTTATGTTGTCAATCTATTAAACTTAGCTTTGCGAAATCTCTCGACAATTGGTTATGTGTGATTTAATAAGTTTTCATTTTATTGGTTTATTCCATTGGCATTATAACTTATACTTTCATTATAGGTAGACGTACTAATTATTCATATACTGGACGCGTGTAACCGTATTGCCATGGTGAAGCCGTTTACTATTATTTTTTTTCTTTGCCTAAACCTTAAGAAAATATTCAAAATTTAACATTTCATCGTTCGCAAAATGGTGTGTTGTTTTATTATGAAATTAAAAAAAAGGACTGTGTTTTAGAGCATTAGTCAACTGTTCCGCCCAGATCCTAAGTGGGGCCCAAAGGACTTTTCCGTGAGACAATTAAGGAAGCAGTACGATTCAAGAGTTGTAAGTATTTTCAAAATTTTTCAATTCAATTTAGACCTTAAGCAATTAGCTAGAGTCCCGTTGCATTCTACGTATCCGGAGTTGAATCGGTTTATTACCAAACCAGAAGGCACTGAAATGATGATGGGACATGCTTAGAGCGTCTTTGAATAATAATAATATAATAATATATCTCACACACTCACACACGGCCGTCTGATCCCAAACTAGGCAGAGCCTGTACTATGGTAACCAGACCGCTGATAAACATACTTATATATTTCTAAATCCATACATATTATAGATAAATTACTTAAATACTTGAATGAGGGGTACCATTGACCACACCGTGTCCGCCAGTTATTTTAGAGGCTAATAAGATCTGCCGAGGATCTCCGGGCCCCTTAGGTTACAACAGTCTCTTGCTATAGATCCAATTATGTCAGAAAACCGTGTATTTATTTTCGGTTCCGTTCCAACATGGACATTTGAGTAAGTTTATTGATACCAGTAATTTATATTTTCCAGTATGTCAAATCAGATGTTCCCCGTTCACTGAGTCGCCATCTATTGTCTCAAGCGGAACCTAAGGTGTACAAGTTAGATGTTCGCTACGATCTGTATAAGAAACACCACGTAGAACCGTTGGAAGTTCGGTTCAGAGTTGAGAGGGAGAACAAAGAAAAATAATTATTTATACAAGAATTATAGAAAAGTCGTTTGATAAATTGTTCCCTGTTAACTTATAAATAATATAGTTTTAAATTATTTTTTCGGCATTGTTTTTTTTACGAGTAACCCACTTTTTTTTTATTACGTGGTGAAAAATCCCGTAAATGGAATGGAAAATGTTATTTTAGGTCCCCTGGTTCTGACGCCTCGCCAAGCCAGGCCCTGGAAAAGCAGCCCTAATAAATGAATCCGTAACTTAGTGCACAATAGATTTAGTTTTATCTTATTTAATCTAAAAGAAAAATACTCTAAAACTGGTTATTTTGTGTTATGTTTTTGTTGTTGTTATGTTTGTTGTTTGTGTACACCAAAATTATTTCTTGGTGGTTTTTAAATAGTGTTAAAAGTTTTTATTAAGTGACATGCAACGGCATGCCAAATCACTGTCGTTTTATAAATTATTTCATCTCATTTGTCGTTATGGTAAATATTTTGAGTATGCTTAAGGAGAGGCCTATGTCCAGCAGTGGACTGCTATTAATATTAATAACAGTCCACTGCTGGACATCAACAGCCTGTTGATGTGCTGTAATGTGATTCTTAAAAGATAAAAATTATGCTATTAGTAAGACATATTAATAGTAAAAACTAGATGATGGTTATAACCACCGTCTTTGAAGGAAAAAGGATTCTATCCCTAGAGTACATCCTCCAAGAGTATCACGCCTAGCGGACGATTTTTCTTTCTTTTAAAAAGACAACTCCTACACTAGGAATATATCCGTTGCCTCGGGGACTTTACAAATATACATAAAACGGACACAAAGAACACCCAACACTCAGAACATCAACTTGTGGATCAAGTTGTCACAACACTCAGCGCAGTAGAATCTATATTTGCTAATCGCCACAGGAACTTACAATGCGTGATGCACGTTGATTGACTTTAACATTGAAGCATGCTTTTGTTACTGTATGCTTCACTTTTTGTTATACGTTTTTACGAGATTTGTAGACATATATAAGAGTTTCATTAAAAGATCAACTTATATATAAAACAGAATGACTAAAAAAATCTGGCCGCTATAAAATGTCAATAAACATTTCCCAAACTTGTTCGGTTGCTCCAGGAATTTAATTTTTCAACTATTGCGCTGCTGCATAAGCCTAAATAAATAAGTCTCTAGCTTGTATCTCGTCCCAAAACTAATATCAGTTCTGAGTAAACAGTGTGCCAAAATTGCTGGAATAGCGCCTTGAGCGAATTTTTGCCAAGAAAATGTATGAAATGGTAGCAAGTCGAAATGCCATCTTGGTTTTACCAGGCACTGAATTTTTTAAATCCTCCAGCCTTAGAGTAACGTTGACTTGCTGGATATACATAGTTTTCGTAATTCAATAATAAAAGTTTATTAACGCCGTGGTCCATGTGGTGACGGATTAAGAATACAGAGTGTAAAAGGTGACTAAGGGAGCAAACCACGCAGAACAACGGCACTGCAAAGAGAAGGAAAACTTGACATAAACCCTATACCAACCCGTCTGGCCAGCGTGGTATAGTAGGCCAAAATCCCTTTCTAAGGAGAGGCCTATATTCAGCAGTGGACTGTTAAAGGCTGTTGATGATGATGACACGAAGTAAGATACAATCTTAGTTCTTGAAACATTTCGTTAAGCCGTCGTCGAAAAAGTACTCGCTTTATTCCATATCCATTCATACACTTCATATACCTGTAAAGTTTTTCACTAAATTTCACGTACAATTAGCAAAACTTTTGTTAGGGCTTCAAAATGGTGACCATTATCCTGTGTCTCTGTCTTCATTCTGGTCTACTTATCAATGCCTTTCCGAAGCCAGTCTTTTTTTATATCTCTTTGCAGTATCTCATAACTTCTCAACATAAATAACAGATCTAATCATCTATACTTAACTTATAAATGTTAAAGTGAGTTTGTTCGTTTGTTTGCTTGTTCCGCTTTTACGCCTTTTTTTTCCGTGCGGAATTCCCCTCGGATACCACCTATCGGTGGCATGTCGGACTCGAACCGACTAAAACCGCACGCCGTCTCCGGTACTAATGGCGGGGGAACCAGGTATACCCTAGAAAGGTAGTCCCTGGTGCTCCGCTTTTACGCCTAAACCACTAAGCCGATTTTGATTTAAATTCTTTCACCGATAGAAAGCTACATTATTAGCGAGAAACATAGGCTTTTTACCGTGAAAACCTACATACACGCGGGTGGAGCCGCGGGCAAAAGGTAATAATTATGTAAAGTGATCCAAACAGAAGTTTTGACATGATGAGGTCTAGCGTCATTAATCATGTGTCAAACGCAATACTATTTCAAACAGAAAATAGCCACCATAATTCCATCAATCCTTTGTCGCCTAATTCATATTAATACATACAAAATTTTCGCTGGCAGATCACTCCAGCCCATATAAATATTTAACAGAGGCCCATTTCGTCGTGTCAAATGCAAATAAATTCAATTCAGTTACAACAATCACCATTGTTTTGGCACCAATGTTAATTAAATCTGTTTCGTCGATTGCAAATTAAAATACACTAAATTACTCTCTGTTTGTCTGATGCGCAATTGATTATTATGCAACTTAATAAAGCATTCTACTATTTTTTGATCATCTGCTGTAAATATTTTTATTTGATATTTTGTAATATTATTTTGGGAGGGGGCGAACCATCTTTCGCCCCAAGCCAACCTCACCTGCCCGCGGTGCATCCTGCTGAACGACGAACGAGGCACTTTCGACCGACTGATGGCGGTATATCCTTCCCAATAGGCGTAACTAAATACAACAGGCTGGTGACGTCGCAGCAGCGTTACCGGTGCGACAAGCTACGCCCTGCGATCGCCAACCCACCTGCCCAGCCTAGCGATTATGGTCAAATCCTCCCCATGCAGACGCAACAAAGGCCCCCAGTTCGGCTATTCAACTTTTTCTTCTATTGGCCTGTAATAATATAAAGCGTTATGAGCTATCGGCATATAACTGTTTTGCGATACAGTCACCAATGTATGACGACATCATGAACTAGTCGTGCCTTTAAATAGTCTTGCCGTCAAACCATGATTATTTAGCCAAATCGATTTCTAGATGTGACAGACCAGTTCTGACTGACTGAATTGGGCCGTCATATTGTTAAATTTACACACATGTGTAAATATAACAATATGACGGGCAGCCCGTGTGGTGACGGATTAAGAATACGGAATGTCACCACCCCTATTCATCCCGGGGGTGTCGTAAGAGCCGACTAAGGGAGCAAACTATGCAGGACAACAGCACTGCAAAGAGAAGGAAAACTTGACACAAACCCTATACCAACCCATCTGGCGAGCGTGGTATAGTGGGCCAAAACCTTCTTTCTAAGGAGAGGCCTATGTCCAGCAGTGGACTTTTATAGGCTGTTGATGATGATGATGACATGAAAAAGAAAGTCAATAACAAGGCCATTAATATTTGTTTCTTTGCATTTTATTAAACTTTAAAAACCAAACCTAACATTGCGATTACATCTGGGTTCTAAGTACATTACAATCGCGTTCACGCTAAAATAAGATATTAAGAGTAAACCTACTAACACAATTTATCAATATTTCGATCCATTCAATTGGTGTACCAACTTAAGACCTTCAAATAGCTCTCAGTAGGTAGGCTCTAAGTAAAGTTAAACAAAATTAGGCACGGAGTTTCTAGTGAACGATAAATAAATCGATATTTGACCTGTAGCGGTCTCGAGGCGACCACAAAACCAAACATTCACACATCAAATATTAACGCCTTTTGCATGACCCAATCAAATACAGCTGCCTACAGATCGTTGTACTGCATAAAGCAGATATTATGAACCGACTTTAAATAAAGGAGGAGTTCCCCAAATTGGTTATATATTTTTTAGGTTTGTTATTTTAGACCTCCGTCATTTATGAACCGATTCCGAAACTTATTTTAATTTGAGAGGGTATATAGATTTGGTTTCATTTAAATTAGAAGAAAAAATAGCACCCTTAAGAGTAGAAGAAAAATATTTTTTAATTCGTCATAATGCAGGCGCTGTGAATTCAACGATGCTTTTAAAAAAATAGGTCATAATAGATTTGAAAACATCAGATTTCTATTTTTTTTAAATTTTACTAAAACAATCAAACCTTTTTTCGAAGATTAAGGATCTCGTTTGTATCGAGAAAGCATGAGACACGACAACGTGGCCCGCGGCTCCGCCCACCAAATCGGTTTAGTGGTTTAGGCGTGAAGCGTAACAAACAAACAAAATCACTTTCACATTATGTACAGATTTAACTGCGGTTTTACACGTTTACATTTCCTTTACATGTCCTTCTTCAAGAAGTGAAACCTCCTGTCGCAACGGTCACAAGCGACACTGTCTTTGAAAAAGCGTCATTTTTTATCTAAAACTTAGTCGAATCCCTGAAATATATAGGTTAGTACAATCATAATCATTGCCTCTGTCATATTACGGATAAATTAACGCCTATAATATGTTTTTTTTTTAAACCAAGGAATCTATCGTAGGTTTAAAATAAATTATTTAATGTAACATCTTACAGTGTAGCCTGAACTATCTTTTATTATCAATTTATTTTTCTAATAATTTGATATCTTCATAATCAATATTAAATAAAAAATATTTGACAATAACTAGGTTTTGTTCACCGTCACCCTACCCACCACCACCGGTTTGTGGCGGGGTGGTGTGTAGGAATCGGACCGACTAAAACCACACGGCGTGCAACTCTGTGCCTGTAATAGGAAGGATCCGGGAACTGCTGTTATTAAGATATCCGGACCCCTCCTAGCGCCTGCCCGCAAGGGCGCGGGCACCACCTTCGTTTACATTCTCTATTTAGGTGACGTCCCGAACACGCGGACGTCGTCTCCTAGCGACTGAATGCAGGTACTTCCCGAAGCAGCCGTGCCAAGAAAGCAAATGTGTCTGTCAACTTCGTTCGGAACGGGAGTCAATAGACCT